CATAATTCAACTGAGAATCTGCATACCATGGCAATGACAACCATGTTGCAAACATGAAACAGGTAATTATCGCCATGGATTTCGCGGCACAAGTCGCACACTGCATGACCAGTGCAGCCCTGCTCGCCTTGCTGTAGGCCGCCCTGGAAAGGCCCACATCCACCGGCGCCGGTGAGGCGGTGGGGCTGCCCCGAGGGCTGGCTCCAGGGTCTCTGTCTGAGCCCCGGGGGCTGTTGTCAGAGACCCGCGGGCTGTTGTCCGAGCCCCTGGGGCTGTTGTCAGAGCCCCTCTTGCCACGTGGGCCTAGGCAGACAAACAGGCGGCGCAAGTCTGAAGAAAAATCATACATCGAAAACCGTTTCCGGGATGCGAACCAGTGGCATAATGGAGCCACATGCGGACAGTGGGTTTAATCTTGTTTAATTTGCTCACACCCCGTATTCGAGTCAGACATTTTTTGAGCAGGCCTCCCAATTGTTGCCTTGCATGGCTTGGCACTCTTGGGGGTTCCTATCCCAAACAAGCAAGTTGTCTTTTTATTGAGGTATGCAGTCAGCCTTTGATCACCGCGAATTGCTGCTGGCACCCATCTGCAGCCAGGCAGCTGGATGAAGACGGCCTGTTGTTCGCTGAAATTTGGGGAACGCCCACCCATGTATATGCAACAAGCCACGCCCTTCCACCAGCAATTGCCGACGGACGTGGAACTGCACACACCGTGTTTTTGAAGACCATCTTTTGGAAAATGCGACCCGCGCACTTGAACGTTTGTTTCTGGGAGGGTACCTGACTTGGGATTGAAATCATAGCAGCAAACCTTGAGACGTGGGTGAAGGAGAGCTGACCGAGTTGTTGCGTTGCCCCAGTTCTATAGGAACTTAAACTTAAAGCCCCTTGTCTTCATGGCGTGTTTTGTGCTCCAGCCCCACCATCAAGCGTGCTTCTTCTTGCTTCACAAAAACCGGCGCTTTGCGTGCGCGCACGCTTTTAAGATCTTTGAAGAGGGAACCCACCAGGCCCCCTGCCCCTTCTGGATGATTAGTTCCTAGCCAGCAGAAAGGTGTTTCGAAAAATGTGATCTGTATGACTGTATGATGCTTGCCCTGATTTAGTAGTTTGCAACTCACCAGGCGGGCAAAATGCCCCCCGACACCTTAGAACAAACCGCACTCAACAAAGGTCTGTCCCAAGCAGAAACAGTTCAAACCAGTGCCGCCTAGAATTCAGGCAAGCGTCATCCTTTCGCGGTCAGATTGTGGCTGTGTTGTGCTGCTTCTTGTTTCCAATCGCCGGCTTTTGGCCATGTGCGCGATTCACTGCAGGGTAGTTGCTTGACAGACCGGCTGGCTTTACATCATTTGGTCATACAACTTAGGGCCTAACTGGACGAGGAAGCAACAGACTGAAACCTATATGTAAAATTGAACCAGGCCAGACCTGTAGAAGGTCACTGTGACACCATGAGCGCACCACATCATTGCCGAATGCGCAACACTGGAGAACCGCGTGGACACCTGAAGACGCACATGGGCAAGACGCCATACGCCGGCCTGAACAAGAATTCACCACCCCTTTGAGACATTCCACCCGGAAATGGCCAAGTCCGGCACTAAAAAACTAGCATGCAAACAAACGACCCCGATGGCCCACAACCCACAACCTGCCAACACGGCACGAAACATCAAAAACAGGTGCCATTAGGCCATCAACCTATCCTGGTTGGCCCCAACTGCCAAACCAAATGCCCCGTTCGCGAAGTTGAGCGCCTCGACGGGCTCTTGATGTGCGAGAAGTTGCCCTGCGACAAAGGGGCCCCCTTTCGCAACACTGGCATCCTTCCGTGCGGCAACTCAAGGAAATCCCCAAAGAGTATCCCTATTTTGTCGACCACCCAAAAGTGCATTTTGCAATGGCAAACAAATCCCGCCTTGTTGGGAGAAACAAGCCCTACAACGGAGAGAACACAAAAAACATCTTGAGGACCCCTCCGTACATCACATCATCCCAATCTTTGAAATACCGGCAAACACGTTGCTATTTGCAGCCCAGCAACAAAGGAGTAAACCAAAAGCAACAACTACACACGAGGGAACAACAGCAAAACAATGCCGAGAACTGTAAACGAGTAATCCATCATCCATCTCAACCAACCCGATCTTCCACTCCCTTCAGGCACCACACCTAGCCATAGTCGCAAAGGCACCACTCTATGCTAAACACCAGTCATAGCAAACACCTCAACCTTAACGTTTGCCTCATGCATGTCCAACTACAATTTCCTTGAACACCGAGATAAACTGGAACATCCATACTCTTCCACTGACAACCCCGGTTGAAAGACTATTTCACTTTTGGAAATGGGTCTGTGCTCTTCCATGTCTGTTGGTGGGAGGGCAACTAGGTGACCAAACATGGATTCTTACAAGTTGGGTTCTGGGATGCACACATCATTGTCCTGCTGCGCAGGCAGAACCCACTTGATAAAACCCATTCAATTGAGCCACAATCAAAACACGGTACTAAAATGGCGAACCCAAAGCCATGCTTCAAGAATTCAGAAGGCGGATATCCGCAGCTATTTATGGCCGGGATTGGCCCTAACCTTCATCTACCCGGGTTTTGAGCACGTGGCTCGTATGAACATCTCCTATGCTTCCTGGTCTATGGGTGGTACCATTATGGGTGAACCTCTCATTCATCCCTTCCACACGTTTTTCTGAGGTTTGCCCAGCCAAGTCAAAACTCCTCTGGCCAACTTGCAAGAACTGAGGCCAAGGCATGCTTCACCTCAAGCACCGATGCGGAGGCGCGGCGGGGAGGCATCGCCTGCCGAGTAGGGGAGGGGAGGGAAGGGAGAGGGGCTCCAAATCCTAACAACCCACCCGGAAAATGACACAAGAGGAAATGGCAGGATGAAATGAGTCAGGATTGCTTTTGAACAAGCCAGCTCAATATTGCAAGGTAAAGCAACCACATCCAGCCACAGAACCCTCGTAAATTGCAGCAATTTACATGCTTTCAAGTATTTTTTGTGCTGTCATCAGATCCCCTGCTGAAAGTTAACGTTGAGTGCTTTGAACAGAAACCCCACTAAACCCTAAACACCTGAGAACCTAAGGGCGGGGGCTGGGAACCGCCAAGTTCTTTATTCGCTTTTCTCCGGAGCCTCGGATCAAAGATTGGTCTACTGAGTATCTTCCTCTTTGGAGTTCCATCTTAACTTGCAGCAGCGTAAACCTGGCTTCAACAACAGCACTCCTTTGCAAATGCCCAAGGTTCACCTGCTGGCCAAACCAGCTTTCGCTTTCACCAATCAAACATGAAGAGCAACAACAGAGTCAAGGTACACATCAGGCTCCCTACATGTTCCCCTTACACATCACCCTATGGAAGGAAACCCACGTGCACTACCGGAGACCCGGCTCCAGGTTTATGCTGCAACTGCTTAAGTCAAAGGTGAACGGGGAGGGACAACCTCAGCTTTGATCAAGCCTGTAGGAAATGAGCAGCTGAGCAAACTTGGCCAATGACACCTATTGTGGGCTTCTCACCAAAATCATGCATGTCCATTGCAAGGCCGACTAAGTGAGGGCCGGATTTCCCCTTGAATGGGACGTGACCAGCGGCTTCCAACATGAGATCGTGACCCGCCCGGGTGCGGGTAAAAGCGACGACCTGAAAAAGGGGACCCGCCGAAACAGGCGGGAATTCGTGGGTGATTTGGCTGTGGGTCAAATAGGTACAAATGGAACCCTTGGAAACATGGACCATGCGGTCCGCTGGTTTAATTTTGACCCATACCCTTTTGGTCCCACGGACAAACTAAAGTCCATCACCTGATGTTCGCCCAAGCCCGCGCCTGAGCTGCTCCCAAACTTGGGCACCATGGAAAGCTGGTGGTCGAGGTTCAGCAAAACGCACGAAGCCGATCACAACATGTGTAAGAGTAACATGCGTAAGACTAACATGTGTAAGACTTGCTCCTTTGATGGATCATCTTCCAACTTCACCTCGTTTTCTTGCCACCTGCTTTGCACTGCGTCTTGGCCCAGAGACCTTCTGAGGGGCTACGCCGATGGGGGATCAGGAATCTAAGAGTCATGGGCTAAGACGGCAGCCAGAAACTATCTTGAACAGCTGGCTGGGCGCGACCGAGCCGAGAACGTTTTGCTTGTGAGGCCCAGGGCCCCGGAAAATAGCACGCGCCACCTTCTTGCCAAGAGCGGAGTGGACAAGGGGTTTTGGAAGACTCCCGTCCCACTGCAAAGCCCCCTGTCCACTTCCATGACTAAAAAAAAAAAAGTCCCTCTGAAAAGGTGCCTTGTCCATTTCCATGACTGTTTACAAAAAGGTGCTCCGATGCATCGGGTGCAGCTATTGTGTCTGTCCGTCTGGGCTTTTTTGGGTTTCGTGGCTGCAATGCTCGGCCTCCGTGAATCCAAGCGTAGACGCCCTGGAAGACTGAATGCCCTGACCATCTGTTGCAAGCTTCCCATCTTCAAAGCGCCATCCCTGACTCGGGATTTGACTTCCAGTCACCAAAGCAGCGATACCACGTGTTCTCCTGGAGTTCCCTTGTTTTGGGCATTCGACCCTGGTAGCTGGTGACTCGTGCCTGGTGTTCTGGCTCTGCATTTCTGGGGCCCTGGGCTATGACTTTTGAAAAGGCGCATGCCCCACGTGGCGATCGGCAGATAAAACCCTTTTCCTTTTGCCTCTGAAGACTCAATGGGTTGTCCCATAAACAGATTGCCTCCTCAGATTGGTCACCCTCTGCGGTTGGGTTTCAAGCCGCCCAGCGGTCAGCTATCCCCAAGCAATCAACGCGCCCTTCCAGGCACTGGTTGCAGCCCCATGAATTCAACGGCGCTTGCTTTGGCTTACAACTTTACAACTTCCTCACAACTCCGTGTCTTTTGTTCACCGAAAGTCGCACCCAGCGCCTTGATGTTTCCAAAGTCCAAGGCCCAAGACAAGCGTCGCAGCTTCGCAGCCCGGTCCTCCTTGCCAAAACAGAGCCTCGGAGCCTGGCGAAGGAGAACCGCGGCTGGGACCCACACCTCCAGTGGCCGTGGGGTAGCGAAAGGACGCCCTTCCTTGTGGTAGTCTATTTTGACATAAGGCACGGTCAAAATTATTTACTTACTTATGGCCGTTTCGCTACTTAGTTTGAGAGTCCCCTATTGTTTTCCAGCGTTTCCATCGCTTTCCAGATTTTATTTTTTTTGAGAGTCCCCTATCGTTTGCCATTGTTTTGTGCATGTTCACAATATCAATGACACGCCGAATGCTAAACTCAACAGAAGTAATTTTGACGGTACTTCACATGGAAACCTTGCAAAGAAAGAAACATATGTCTGGGAGGTGAGGATGGGGGACTGCCTAATTGGGGATGGCCCACTTTCGTTTCACTGAAAATGCTCATCCCAATGTGCATTGCTAAGTCGAAATAATGATGAGATCCTCAATCAATCAATCAATCAATCAATCAATCAATCAATCAATCAATCAATCAATCAAATAAATCAATCAAATCAATCAATCAATCAATCAATCAATCAATCAATCAATCAATCAATCAATCAATCAATCAATCCAATCCAATCCAATCCAATCCAATCCAATCCAATCCAATCCAATCAAATCAAATCAAATCAAATCAAATCAAATCAATCAATCAATCAATCAATCAATCAATCAATCAATCAATCAATCAATCAATCAATCAATCAATATTTCCTTGTTCAATCAATCCGTTTATGATCCGCACAAAATTCAAGCGGTAGTGCAGTGCATTATATGGCGGTTGCCCTGTTCGAGGTGAGTTCAACCCGAAGGAGTGTTTCATTTCACAGGCAACACCATGCAATTCTCACCCCTCGGTTGGCAGTGGGATGGCGGGGGAACCACCTCATGTGACCCCCTACTGCGGCGAGCTTGCCATGAAAAGCGGCGTCACCCCAAACAGTGGTCCGGACTCCCAGGGATTGCCAAATACCCTTTTTTGTTGAGGCATCGTTCAAGCAATAAACTGCCGACGTTCCATGATCCCTGCAAGGAAGCTCAAGAAACGCAAAGGCATAATTTTGATGGCTTCAGGGTGCAGACTACAAACCCGACCAGGGCAATTTCCCATGACAAAATTGGCAATTTTCCCACAACCATGGTAACCGTCAAGTGCCTGAAACCAAAATATTGCCCTCTAAAAGGTGTTTCAACATGGCTTAAAGGGAAACCATCCTCCACAACCAACCATGCCTCACTCCCTGAGTGGACTGACCACAAAAAGTCTAGACTAGTTTGTGTGCCCTAAACTTATACTCCCCTGCAAAACCTGCAAAAAAGAAAAACAACTAAAGTTCATGAACTCAGGGAGTTAGATGCGAAATACCTACTGGGCCCTTGTGGCGCGCCTTCAGCGGCCCCGGGCAGCTCAGCTACGGGGCCCAAAGAGGCAGCCAGCGCCACCTCTCGGAGACAGGTCTGCGGGCGAGTGCCAGTTTTGGGGGCCGGAAAGGGTGGGTGTTGGTTGGTTGGGGTTGGTTGGGGTTGGGGTTGGTGTTGGTTGGGGCTGGTTGTGGGTCGGGTTGGGTGAGTTGGGCTGAGTAGTTGGGTGCCTGGATGGTTTTGGATGGCTTTCCGGCGGTTGACATTTGGGCGGTGGTTGTTTGTTGCTCAGATTTGGGATTGACTTCCAACATCTGGAGGTTTCAATGAGGCGGTGGCTCGGCCTTTTCGAGGGACCCGATTTCGTGAGACCTCTTTGAGAGAAACCTCGTGTCCCCTGGCCGAGGGGCCAGTCTGGAAGCTCTGCGAAGACCCGGCACTAAAAGCAAAAGGCTGACAAGGCTCCATATGAAGGAAAACTCACCTTAAATGGGCAAAAAAGGTGATGTTTAAAACCGCCAACAAAGGAAAATATAATATAGGAACCCTGGGGACCAGGGCCACCTGGGATCGGGCTGGTCCAGCGGATTGGCAATTCCCGCCCGCGACCCTGCCTCGATTCGAAAGTCAAGCGGCCTCAGTGCTCACAGGCTTGCCGCACTGTTCCGCCCTTTTCACGTCCCAAAAATCGACTTGGGTACTCCGAGTACTCCCCATAATCCTAACATGGAAGCTCTCGGTACCCTCTCGGACAAGAACGGCTATGCCCATGAAGCGGTGCACAGCTGGCCCGCCACTTTGGCATTTAAATTCCCAAAACATCGACCTCATCCGAGATTTGGAATGCTGTGGACAGTGCCTAGCACGGATGCCTAGCATAGGCTCCCGACAGGCACACATCAAGCTCCTCGCACGAGAATTCCGAAAAAGGACCGGTGCGCCCGCCGGCCATGAGGCAAAAAAGGGCGCCGTTGTTTTGGAGTCGGCGGTCTGAGGTTGCCCAGGCAAGGTTTCTGCCCCATACTCTCATAGAGCTAGGGTCCAGCTGCGAATGCCAGGGTCCAGCTATGCACCAGCCAGCCAGCTAGTGACCAGTGCATGGAGAGGAGTCTTGCATTTCAGTTGCCCCCTACCGTTGCACATTGCAAAGCCGGCCGCTTGCCAAAAACTACAATCACATTTTGGGGAACGGACTCAAAGGGCCTTGGCAACCACAAAACAGCCACCACTTGCCGACTCGGCGAGCCCGTCCTCTGGACCTGGCCTTGGTAAGGCAAGCTTCCAGAGAGAGAAGGGGAAGCTAAGAGTTGGTATCCTTCAGGCGTGCCTCCAAATTTCAGATTTGCTTTCTCCAAAAGCTTAGGCCCCCTGAATTGCTCGAATGCGCTAATAATATGGAATGCACTAGGTCCTATCGTGCATTTTACTCTCAAGCCTGTTGCATACCGTGCGCGAATCAACAAGAGCTGCAGGGAAGAAGTTCAAGAATGGTTCCAGCTGCAATCCACTTAGCAAACCTTTGGTCGCCTACGAAGTATCAGCGCTACACAAGCTGCTTGGCACACGCAAGCAGGCTTGAAGAATCGTCCATCGCTGAAAAGTTCGCGGTTTTGTCAGAAATGAGCAGAGCTAGCTAATAGTTGAGCAAAAGCACGCTACTCCCGCCCGCCACAACAAGGTCTCGCCAGCTCACGCACAAGCTGCAAGCCACAATCAACGTACTGGCCGGGCTCCAGCCCTGAGAAGAGAGAGCGTGTCCAGTCAATTCTGCCGTTGTTTAATTGCCAAGCTGTGAGTGGCTACGTGAACCTACGCGGAGGCAAGCGCTCGCTCACTTTGCTTGTGTTGTCTCACCAGTGAACAGTTGCCTAATGAAAGCCCCGAAGGTGGCTTCCCAAAGGCTGTCTGGGATCTTCAGCGACAGATCCTTCTTGTGAGTGTTCCCTGAGCCGAATGGTGACCCCAGGAAGGGATACAAACAGTTTGACAGGTTTTGCCGAACGCCTTTCCCAGCTCAGGCAGAACACACTGGGAAAACCAGAAGACTGTTTGGTGCTTTTAGGTAAGGGGAACCAACCCTGTGGCATGAATCCTGCTCCACCAAACTCACCACCTGCCACGGCAAGACTTGCATACTGGATGACAGCCACTACCCCAGTCATTGCACCAGGGTGTACCACCTTAGGAGCTTCCCTCAGGATTTGTTCAGGGGAACTGCCTACTGACTGGGCGTTTACGGCTGGGAACGACCCGCAACTAGGGAAAACGTTCCCCCCACCAAACATGAGTCCCCTTTCTTGCCCACCAAGAAAAGATGCGAGGGGAATTGTTTTGTTGACGCTCCTATGCACAAAGGCATTGATTCTATCTGCGAACTCTTGGACATCAGCTACATGGGGATTTATGCCCACCAACCATTTTGGGAGGTGGTCCTGGGCTAAGTGGGGCGTTGCTGGGCTCCGCGCCGTTTCGCCTCAGCCAAGTGCAGGGAGTAGCGCAAGTAGCCGAGCCTCGGAGTGAATTGGGCGGTCGCTGGTTTCAACCTTTTGCTGTGCAGCTGTGAAAGCAACTCGCGGTTGAGATGAGCCACAGCCGATATTCATTGTGGTCCCAACTGACATGGGCCCTGCCACTCTCACCAGCACCAACAGGCATGGCTGTGTGGAGCAATGCGCACAAGATGGACCTATGTACAGCGCAATGCGCATTTGTTTCATTCGCCTTTTTGTTGGGACTTGGGTTTTTGCGGTCATGCGACCGCCGTGGTTGGAAATCTCCGACATCAAACCCCTCAATGAACAGGGATCCGGATGCATTATACACCAGAACATTGCAACTCGTAAATGGCGTTTTGTTTTTTTGTTTCCCCCCTGTATTTTGGTGTTGAAAAAACCACATGTTTCAAATGGTGGCAAAATATGAACTTCTTTCAAGGAGCCCTGAACAACCCCGCCAAAAACCTGCTGGAGTTCCGTTCCCTTCCCTTCGCCTTCCAGAAGCACAGCCGACAAAAAACAACCCAACCAAACGGACCAGCCTTGGACCCAGAAAGTCGGACGCTGATACAGACCCAAACAACAATTGCCGAAGACATACGGCTTCCCAAGGTCAGCAAAACCTGGGGACAAGATCAGGGCCACAAGTCATCAACCCCAAAAAAAAACTGTTAAAATGATAATCTGAGGGCCCAGCCTTCGCGCGAGATGTTGGTCCCTTCTCCTTCCAGGGCCTTTCCCCTTTCCGGCAAAGCCGATCGCCGATCTGAGGTCAAAGCGCCTCATCGGAGCGGACCTGGGCATCATCTTGGAAAGGAACTCAGCTGAGGCAAGGACGCCCAGCCCCACACAGGTTGACACCAGATGGTTTAGGGATGTTTAGGGTTTAGGGATGGGCCTATCTGTCTTGCGCGTGGCTTTTTTTGGGCTGTTTGAAAGGGACACCGCAAAAACTTCGCATCTTCCGCAGCCAAACAGGGGCGGCTCACCTTTGGTTTGGCAAGAAACTTAGGCACCCGCCGAGAGGCTCGCAAAGCTCATGAGCATAGCCCAGGTCCCATCATTGCCCTGCGCTTCAAAATTAAAGACGTGCGGTCGTCCCCCCGGGAGCAGGCGCGAGCTCAAAGCCATCTGCAACATACGTCAGTGTCGGTATGAGGCACGTGTGTTAGCCAGGCCCTCAGGGTTCAGAGTTTACAGTGATACTTTGCCAGGATCTAGCTGAATGAGCTTGGCTTGTTCTGCTGTTTTGGGGCTCGACCTGACACAAACCAAAGCCAACCCAAACCCGCCCAAAGTCCACCATGAAGCCGCTCAGCAGGAAGCCACACCTTTATGAGCCCAAAACAGGCACCGTAGGAAAGCCAGAAACCCAAGGCTGACCAAACAACTCTGAGCTGCACCCCCAAGTCAGCTGCAGGCCTTTGAGCGATGCATATGGAGGATTTCCCGTACGGAGGCCTGGTGAAAGAGCTGGCCACGGCTGGTGGAGAGGTCCCCTGTGCGACCGTAGAGGTCCTGTCACAGGCCCCCAAAGACGGACAAAGGGAATGATAGAAGGAACCTACCAATGGAGGGAGAGGATGAGAAAGCAATGGACCCTTGGGCCCCCAAAAACGGCCCTTCCTTTGGGTTCCTCTTTGCTCGGCCTTAAGAAAGCGACCAGTTGGCAAGCGCAGCTGGGATCTGTGTCCTGGATCCTCTGCGAGGCATTCAGCCTTGGATTGAAAGGCCCGAAAAGACTCGCGCGACTGCATGGAGTTGTGCTCCCTCTCATGGTCGTCGGCAAATAATATTGGGTCTTGTTGTTCTTCTTGGGTGCTCTATTAAACAATATGTTGAACGTACGTAAGCTGCGGCTCTTCGCGTCGAAGCAGCTGAACTGCCTTGCTTGTAAACCAAGATCGCTAAATGCAGCCAAGTGCCATCATTCATTGAATAAGTCAAGTTTGAAGGCGTTTGCAAGAACCTGAAGCATTCAACCAGTACCCTGATACATCCTGCCTCTGTTTTATTTCTAAGCCCTGGCTTGGGGTCTTGCTTGCGCAGCTGGGGTCTCCATTTGTGCCAGAATCACAGTCTGCTTGGCGTGGCCAGGACTTACTTTCAGAAACCAACAAAGAGAGGCACTGCGTTTTGTAAGGGAAGCCATTTCAGTCTGGCAACTTCCGGTGGAATCTGGCAGTAACTTTGCCTTGGGTTTGCCTTCCAAACACTTACCTTCCAAAGCACTTAACGGCAAGACCGAAACGCCTCGCTGCCAGGCAAAACTGCTTTGGCAATTCTGCCGTTCACAGGCAAAGGCCCGCCCGCTCCCAGCGAAATCGTTGAACTCAAAGCTGGGCGTGCCGGCAGGCACTCCAAAGATACGCCAGACCTGCCAGGCTAAGAGAAGCCAGGCCTCACTACGTGGCCAAGCTGCGGCCATCAATTCCCTGAACAGTGGCAAGTGGGTGGTAAGGAGCCCCTGGCAATATTCCGAACTTGGTGGCTCTTGGCTTGGTTTGCACCTCAGGCGACACCCATGCCCTCACTTTCCCCAGATTCGCCAGAACTTGGACCTGCAGGCCAGAAGTACATGGTTGTTCCTATTTTTGTGTTGAGGGGAGCTGTCGTCGACCCTCTTAGGTCGGCAATACACGAGTTCGCAGTATGAACCTTGGTGTCTGCATCTTGCCACAGGAGTTGCAGCACTTACCCCTAATTTCTGCATACTACCCGAAAAAGGTAGTAACCAAACGCCACAAGGAGGAGCACACATTGTATAGCCGTGAGATGTCGTCTATCGGGACGACATAGAGGCGCCCCTCAAAACCAACCGCGCCTGAGCGGCGTGTTTTCGCGCATCTCGACGAGACAAGGTCCTGCGGCCTCGCGGTGCTCCGCCGCCCCATGGACTTCCAAGGTAGGCTTCTGGAGGGTGCCCCTTGGAAAAGCCGAGGGTACGACAAGGACAGGGCTCCCTATACTTCCCCTTTAACATGACTCCACCAAAAGGCCGGTCATCTTAAATTGGCCCAAAAGAGCGATGTCTAAAATCACCAAAATGGGAAATATAGGGAGCCCTGAAGAATGAGCCCCCTAAACAAGGCCTCATCAGGGGCTTTTGGAGGGCCATGACCAAAAGCGTACTGGCGACACAGACCTGCCCACCAAGCAAGCCACTGCCAAACCGGCCCGCCAAGCCGCAGCTAAATCAGCCAGCCAACCAACCAGCAGCGCAAACCGCGTGTTTTTGGCAGGAGCAGCTCCCTAAAACAGCGGGCACATGCGGGCATGCAAAAGTGACCCCGAGAGGAAACAGAGTTTTACGGGGGGCAAAATGAAGATCGCGTGGACGCAGTGATGCAGTGATTCTTGGCATGTTGCAAGTGGTGCGGATGCTCCGCTCTCGTGATTACCCAAAACGCCAAGGCAAACCCTACACAAGCCGCTCCTCTGCGCTCGCCGCATGGAGGACGTTCATGGCCATTGTCACCGACCTGGGCTCATGGAACTTTGCTCTCTCGGGTTCTCTGTAAACATCACCCCGCCAAAAGGACACAGATTCCATCTCGCTGCTGCACTTGTGCAAAACGCTGGCAACTCTGCCGAAATCAGTGGAAAGCCCCCAAGCGGCCCTTCGAAACCAGCATGCTCCCTTTGTCACCCTCCACTCCATGAAAAGATCTCCTAACACGTTGCCCTTGAAACGACTAAAGAAGCACTGGCAAGTGGAGCCTTCGCAGCTTGGGCCTCTCTTCTGAGCCAAGCCTTTCACTGGCTCGCTTCTTAAACCATTGCTAAAGATTGTTTTTGCCAAATGGTGGGGTTGATAGAAATATATCCCTTTGTTGGCAAGGGTTCCATCAAAGACTTTTTTGGGCAACTTCCACATCTCTATTAATGACCTCACACAAGGCAACAGCATGCACTTGCCATAAATAAGCTAAAGGGCTACACCGAAATGTCTGGCACCGGGACCGGGCAAGACCATTGGATCCAGCAAGTGGGGAGCGCGGCGAGCCAACCATTGCACCTAATTAAGCTTAAACTGATCCTTTGTTGGGACATGCGCAACAGCACCAGGGAGGCTGGGGCCATCCGGCTAGCTCTATGCAAAACTATCTAAGAGGCTAGTTACTAGTTGAGTGAACCAAACACACATGCCTTCGCAGCAGAACGTGCATCCGAAATGCCAACTTGTGTATCACCAAGAAGGAGTCTGTCAGACTCTCGTTCAAGCCCTGCACCTTTTTCTGTCTTGCGAAAGCTGCTCTCTCACTCTCTCTCCGTGTGTCCACTGGGATCCACTGGCTACTGTGCTATGGTCTCGGTCACTTGGCCTTTGCTCGAGAAGCATTTGTCTTGCGCTCCGGCGACGTCTTGTTGTCTCCCGACGTGGCATTTCTTGTCGCATCTTCAAGCTGATCATCGCACTTTTTCAAGCAATTGCGGGTCCGTACGTCCAGCTTACCCTTTCCGATGTCTTCTTCACTTTTTTCCGCTCTTCCAAGCACTTGCGCACACATTGCCTATAATTATGGCCTTCTCGTGTTTCGTAGCGCTTTCCACCATAGTCATAGTCTTCACGGATGTACTCCTGCAAATCCTCCGGGAATTGCTTTCTCAAAGGTGTTCGTTCCGTGTCATGCATCTTCATACTTTGCCGCAAACTCCCACCGATGCAAAGGAAGACCACGGCAATGCCTGCAAAAAAGCACGTGCCAATGCGCGTGCATCTCTTGCTGCCCGAATCTGGCATTGGCACGAAGTCCCCGCCGGCTCCTCGGACCAAGAGTGCCCCTCCAACAAGTGCCCCCAGCAGCAAAACTGGATAACTTGCGGCGACACTGACGCCTGCACCAAATGACACTACTTCAGGCACAACTTCCATGACCAGCGTCGGAGCTTGCATGACAAGCGCTGCCATTCACCCGAAACAACACTTTGGTTTGGTTGGCCTTGATGTGAGTGGCTGCGGAGGCTGAATCACGTTACGTAGGCCTAGGCCACGAGGAAACAGGGGAACGAAGCCGAACTATAGGCGATGCATCGGCCAAGCTAACTGGAGTCCAATTCTACGGCCTCGGGAAGCCCGTATAATGATATTCTAGCCCGTATTAAGCCCGTAGGATGCAGTGTTTGAATGTCGGATCAGCACCGTGCCCGTGTGCTGGGAAACTCCAAGATCACCGCAGTCGAGCATGCTGCGTTGTAGTGTTGTTGGTTCATGTAGAAAGGATACCACGCATCGTCGTCTTTGTTGCGGAATCAAAGTGCTCAGCAAAGACTTGCCCTCGCGCATATGCTCTTGTATCGTGTCATGTGACATGTGGCTTGCCTTCCTTGATTCATTTCTGAAATTCTACCATGCCATGCACCTCATGCATCAAAACAAATGAGCATTGCACATTGGACCTGTGGTTGTTGAAATTGTGCGCTGATTGGACGAGCTCCTGTCTTGCAACTGTCGTCAAGGATGGATGTATCAATCAAAACCTCAGCGAGCAGCTGCGCCAGCGCAAGGCCATATGCTATGGTTGATTTGCACATATTGCGTAGGACTTGCCCTGAAACTTGCCGCGGTGTTCGGATTGTTCACTTGCAACCTGTAAAACCACTGCACCCTCTTGCGGCTCGCTGACAGCATGGCCCCTGGTGCAGTGGCAGCAGTGATGGCATCTCAGATACGGACAAGCAGCCGAACTCCAGCTCATGCAAGTAATGGTCCAGCCTCTGCGCTGCAACTCCGGCGATTCCGAGGCAAGCAGGCCACCAGTCCGCAAACTGACCACCAAACCAGGCAGCCAATAAGCTGACTAGCCAACCAACCCACCAAACAAACGCCCTTCAGAGAAATTGGCATCTCTCAAAATAGAGAACCACCCCCCGGGAAAAAGAAAATAAAAATAAAACAAACAAACTGATAAAACATGGTGTCCCCTTCAGAAAGGGTAACCTCCAAAACACACATCCATATATGCATCTGTTGGCCTTCTGGGCTCCTAAGATCATGGCTCATCTATACATATAAAGTGGGTCTGTGTTTTTGGTTGCGCGGAGTGTCTTCAGGTTGGTCTAAGGAAAAACAAAGAGGAATGCCGCAATGTTGAGGAGGTCCACCTGTCTTGACACCTCCCAACTGGGTCTGAGCGTTGATTGGAAATGGATGTTTTGGTGGAAAGTACAAATGAATAATCCGACTTGAGCAACAGCCAACCCTCTTTGAAGGGTGCTCCCCATCAAAACTCATGCCCAAATCACATTGTCGGTCCCACAATTTGACGGTCCCCGAGATGGAAGAGTACTTATTGCTTCCTGCGCGGACTGGAAAGAATGAGGGGGCTCATTTCAATCCGGCACTAACTTCCAAAAGGCAGTACCAAATGGGCTGAGCAGGCTCGCTCCTTTCCAGCGCACATCCTGAGGAAGCTTCTGGCCCAATTACGTATTGCCATCCAAGTGACACCCCAAACGTGCTAGGTGAACAAACCCTGCCACTGTCTTTCATAACCCCTGGAAACAACACCAAAGCTCACTTCGCTGGAACAAGCCAACAAGAAGTCTGAAATTTTCGTTCACCAACGTATGAAGTCCAGGAACTCAGGTGACTAAATCATGGGCTCAGAGCTTTCTCTCTGGGCCGCCCCGCAGCTCAGAGTCCAGGCTGTTCGCCTGAGTGACACCCCCAAAGCTCCGGCGCCTGGATAAGCCTTTCTGCAATACCAACCAATGTGGGGACATGTGTCTTATCCGGGGTCCCTGAGGCGACCCCCCAACAACCCACCCCCCCATTCAAGGCATTGTTACATGGATACCTCCAAATTTATCTAATTCACTCTAAAGCACTCTAAAACACTCTAAACCACTCTAAAAGACTCTAATACACTCTAAACCACTCTAAATTGACTCTACATCACTCTAAACCACTCGAGTCACACCTATTGTGCTCACACATTGCCAAAAAAAAGAGTAAGACATTGTCCTTGGGATGACAGGACTGGTCACAATAACATCAGAAGCAAACATCCAAGAAGATCAAGAAGCACACAAAGGGTTCCTGAATGTCGCCCCTGATTTCTTTTACTGGCTTACCAACACTTGTGTGTTTTGCAGAAAATAGGTAGCAACACGCTGTTGAATTGGAGGGTCGGTCCCCAGAATCAAAATGGGAAAAGGGCTGAGGTGTGCTTGGAAGCTTCCAACCACTACCTCTGAATTGGTTCTCGGTTGTTGGGGGGTCACCTCAGGGACCCCTGATATGACTCACTTCTCCAACCACGGCTGTTTTCAAAATCCCAAGTGCTGTCCAAAATGCAGCCGTTGCGGGATGCTGGACTGGGCGTGAAACAAAAGCCAACCGCCCGAGAAACGGAACGAGCTTCCGCCGAAGCAACCTTGCAAGCCATTACATTCAGTGACTTGGCGCGAAATTATTGGCGGCCAGCTGGAAGCAACGAAGACTTGTTCCGAACGAAACAGGGCCCAAGACAAACCCTCAATCAGCCCCATGCATGTTGTCCTGACAAATTGCCTTGATGCAAGCCGCGTGTGCCAAGATCCGCTTGTCGTACCGCGAATAAAGCTGCTTTTCTCTGCAATCCACACGCTATCCGAATAGTTTCTCTGACTTAGGTGTCCTTTTGGAGAACCCGATGGATTGCATTGGTGAATAATCGGAACCAAGCTCAAACCACTGGAGTCCATCTATTCGGAAGTCAAATGAAACCAAACTGAAAACAGCGGAATCCGCCGAGTTTCAACTAAACTGACCCAAAAGGGACACCTATGTCCTCTGCCCTCACCGCGCTTTAAGCGCATCAAAGACCTCTATGCGCAAGACCGCAGGCACGGCTCGGCCTGCTCGACCATGGCCACAGCGTGCCCCCCCAAAGAAGAAGCAAGTAGGGCATCCTAATAGAAGGCCGCTGCACTGCAAAAGACACATAATATCATAATAACTATCTCGAGTGCAGGGCTCAACGGCTCGAATGCATAGTTGCAAGTTGCAACACTACTACTTGCGGGGCCCTTCGCTCACACGTGAAGAAGCAAAAGTACAAAACTTGGAGGATGTTCCACGCACAAACCTCGAAGCCCAAGAGGGATCTGGAAGCTTTCCAGGTCGCTTGCTCCGCCTGGGGAAAACCTCACTCCCCAGGACAGCCCGTCCTCAGAAGGATCCTTGGGATGCCGCAGGCAACATGAAAGCCAAGTCAGTGTGCTGGTTGGGCCAACCCACCACAAAAGTACCATCACGTAAACCAACCGATTCATGGCTGCAACTGCTGCGCTTCAAACATGGGAAGGCAAACACAGAAGGAAACATTGCCAAACGATTCCTCGAAGTGAGGTAACATAGGCACAAAGAAACAAACGAGGTACTGCAACAGGCCTTGTCCTCAAGTAAAAGCATGGCAGCATGGACCTCCCTGCCAACCTTGCGGGATTCCCGAGTAAGGGACCTGCATTGCGGGGAAGTCCGTCCGAGTAGGCAATGAACTTCTTCCCAAAATTCATGCTGCCAAGTCGCCCCAGTCTTTTTTGCTTCTCATAAATCTCCTGCAGTGCACGCACGAAAGCGCCCGATGCAAGCAGCATCGACTTCTGCTTGCCAAAATCGCTCCACTCTGCTAGCTTCAAGTGCTCAACAGCCCCTGAAATTTCGAGTGAGTCCCAAAACTAGGATTTAATCTGAAAATGACTTACGCGCTGGGACTATCATCAGCTTATTCTTGGGGCTCCAGGTTGGGTTTGTCTGACGGACGAGCCTTGTAGTCCTTCTCGTAGTAGTTGGGTGGGTCATCTCCTTGGCCAGTTGGACAGGTTTTCATGCGCTGAGCGAAGCGCATTGCAAAGGAGCTGAAAAAACTTGCTGGTGCTCAGTAGGGAGTGAGGGAATGAACTTGGGGATTCCCCTAAAGGAAGCCACGAGGCATGGCTTGTAGGGTTCATTCCCTCATTCCCTGCTGAGCACCAGCAAGAAAAGAAACTGCTTGGCTGCCATTGGCTCAGCCCAAACATCTGCAAGTGCGCCATTTTCCCACTTGCCAACTCTCAAGGCGAGAGATGCAAGATGAAACACGTGCCTCGTCAAGCCAAAATGCTTTGCTCACCGACCGCAAGAGGTGAGGCCAAAGGCTGGTCAGCCTCCAGTTCGGGAATCCTTTGCTACCAAGTTGCTGAACTGGTTGCTCAGTTCGGCTGGCCTGGCAAGCTGCACTGGACTGCAGAAAAGGGTTCTGGTGCCATGCTGTCGTGACCAGGCCTGCACCCCTAAAAGTAGAATTAATTATAATTAGTAGATAATCCAAGCTTGGACAAACTATGGTTTAATCAATTCCATCTTCCTCACGGAGGGAGGGGGGGTGACTACTATGTGTCATCCCAGCAGATTCTTTGGAATGACCACAACTTGAGCGACCGAAACGAGACCCTCCCCCCACAAGGCCTCCAAGGAAATCGTCGGGCGTCGTACCTCGAGGCAAACCAGTCTTCCAGCAAAAACGCCAAGCGCCCTCTGATACCGTTCATATACTACTCAAGTTCAAATTTACGAACTGGAAATCTGATTTCATTGAGACAATAGATGCATATTAATATGTATATGTAGTATATGTCTAGTTGCTTGCATTCTTGCAGCAGTTCAAAAAAAAGCTGTTCTGGCTGGCCTTCCGCCATCCGCCCACCGCCAAGTCACACATAGACCACATCTGTGTCAAAGGTGTCAGGCTCGTTGCCCTCTCCTAGGGCCAGCCGAACGAAGACAGGACGGATGCTGGATGAACGATGCCTTTTAGCAGCAGCAGGGATCCTTACATTATACACCTGAACATTGCCTTGTAAATTGTGGTTTCCCTTTATTTTGCCATGTTTCAAATGGGCAAAATGTATCTTTTAAGGAGCCCTGAGCAGGAAACAGGATTTGTCATAAAGAAGCCAAGGAGAGCATAACCAAGCAGCATGGAGCTGGGTGTTATTCAGTGGGATCCGGCAAAAAGAACTTGTCTATCCTTGTGGCTCCTTCGGGACACATGAGTTCAAACCCATGGGTGATTCAGCTGAGCACACCTTCTTCCAGTGGATCAGGATGCAGGGGGCACATTGGGGGTTGTCCTTCTCCGCATGCCAGGGCTCAACGATTTGAAACGGGTTCTTCAAATGGTATTGCTGTCAGTTTCCCCGTGTTCGCTCGAGAAAGCGTACCTCCGAAAGGGGTATGCTCCTAAACACCATTCACAAACCTAAAACACACATGTTGGTGGAGTAGTCGCCTGAGACATCCCCGTTTGGGTTCCATGTTTATTTTCTCGACCGTAGTTGGCTTGCTTTTTTTCCCCTAACGATCGAACGAAACACTTCAGCCAAGGCGCCATTGACCAGCTTCACCTTACCTTAGTCAAGTCAAAAATCTGCAAGCTTTACTTAGCCTTCTTTAGTGATCTTCAGCCCTTGCTGTTTGCTGGGCTGTTCCTAGCTTGTCATAGCTTTAGCTAGCTGTTGGGTTGTTTGCCCAAAGAGGCAGTGTTTGAAGGGATGTCTCCAGTAACTCTACTAGGTCCTCCAGTAAACAGCTTAGAATAAGGGTACCCTTTGTCCGTAGTCTTGTTTAGTAGGGGAACCCCCCCCCCCCAAAACAAAGGGTAAAAGAGCACTGGGGGACCTAGTCTATGAAACCTAAGGACCTGGCACCAAAAGGGCGTCCCTTGAGCACCTTGACCTCAAATCAATCCACTCGAGGCCGGGCCTTCGCACACCTCCTGGATCAAGGGGAAGTACTTGGAGTCCATACCGCCTGCGCAGCGCGGCTGGCTTCGGCCGGAGGAATTTGGAGCGCCAAGGCTTGGTAGCTGCAACGACCCCTCTGCCGAAAGTGAGTCTAACTCTTTGGTGGGTTCAATGGAAAACCTCTTGATCTAAAGATCCAACCCAATAGCAGTCAAGAATGGAACGGGTTCTGGTGGACGGGTCCCGAATTCCCGGTGCAAAGGGCTCGGCTCCTTCACTTTGGGGGGGTGATCTACCCGGGTCGACATGGCTGACCAAAGAAACATAAATGATCTGGCAAACAAACACCTCCTACTAATTAGTTGGCCAGGGGCAAAGGGAGAACAAGGGGAACGTTTTGGCCTGCGCAAGTGTCAGGATGAGCTGAGACAAGCGCGCTACTGAATATCAGCATGGCCTTCCATACTGAGGCTCGGCCATAACAAATTCAAGTCGCGTTTGTGCGCCCCAGGGCGATCTACTTCTCGCACTTCCGAACGCACATCATGGCCATTTACTAGACCAAGTGAAACAACCACCTTGAGGTGAATACTAACCCAACATGATCCCGGGCAATCTAAGTCCAACTACTGTACTTTCGCTTGCGCGCGCTCAAAGCTTGTGTCACTCCGCCCGCTTTCGGTTTCTCTCGGGGCAAGTGGAAACTTAGAAAGCTAATTAATTTAGCGCCAAGTCATAACTCAGATGCCCAGTGGCCATGGGAAAAAGGGCATCCTTTTTGTGTTGGTTTACTTTTTGATTGGTTGACTTTACAGGAATCGGAACCCTTCCCCCCAAAAAAAGTCAGAGAAACAAAAAGGGGCGGAATCCACTGGGCAAGCTGACTTTCAAGGCGAACCCTTCCCCAAAAAAATCGAAAAAAGGGCACCACTAGGCAACTGGGGCAT